TGTTAACGCAATTGGAGCATTTTCCTTACTAGATCCTGACACAATGTCCAATTAGTTTAACAGGTAGATGCACTACCTTGACAGAGTCGATGGGACCATGCTTTAAGCATTCCTCTTTAACATCCTCCTCCAGTTCTGAAGGTAAATTTTCATCTGCCTGTAACATAAGGAAAAAATTAATACAAAGCAGTAAATGACTGCAAGAAATACCTGTGTTCAGTACAATATTACTATATCCTTTCGCATGAAGCACTGTGAGAGAATTTAAACCAACTAACAATTTTAGGAGACGAGACTATTTTGTGCCCTAGCGCTTCCTCTGCAAAGATGATAAGTTATCAACTATGTCATGATTTTGCAGTGCATCTGAACTAGACAATAATGGAAGTCAGCAAAATTTTGTTTGCTTTCAGTAGGTCCTTTCTTCAGAGCTCAGTATGTCAATTTGCACATCTCAATAGAGAAGAACTATCATCGAACTTAATTCCTTTGTTTTTATGTACATTTGTTCATTTGGACTGAAATGAACTGGAATAAACTTGGGGGGTTCGGAAGAAAAAGTCTATTTTCTAGATTACGGATACATGAGCACATTAATTGCATTTTGCTTCTATGGCCACATTGTTTTTGCTTTGTACATCAGGCATTCCCGCATAAGATTCAATATCCAGCAGGAGTGAATAAAAGCTATGAGCATACCCTCATTTCAGCAGGCGTGAACATATTACGAAGAACAACAGTAGCTGGAACCAAAACTTTGGAATCATCACGGCCACCTGTACCAGATTGTGGAAGTGTAATTCAGAGAAAAAATGCAAACAACAAACTGTATGATTTTTTTTTTGAAATAAAATGAAAGTATTATTATACACAGAGTACCAAGGGGGTACCACCCATATACAAAATAATTACAAGCCAATCAAGTGGTCCATGACTACACCAAAGTAACCTCAATCTTTAATGTCATAACCCTGTAAAATAGTGTGAAAAGTATAAATTCATTTATCTCTAATTTTTGTAAAGTTAGTCTCTATACCCTCAAATGTTCTCTCATTCATTTTCGTCCACACCACCCCGAAAAAAAGTAAGTGGAATAAAAAATAAATGACTTCTCTTTTTACAAAAACCCGCCCATGCCTGCAGCTCACAACTCATACTACCAGCCATAACCAAATTTAACCCTAACAGCCCAAGAACAGAGGTCCACATACTGTATGTCACAAGGCAAGATAATAATAAATGGTTGCAGGTTTTCTCATCAGTATAGCATAAATAACATCTATTAACCAAACAGTTACCCTTCCTTTCTAGCATGTCAATAGTCAAAATGCATTCATTGGCCGCTTCCCAAGAGAAAAAAAAGTCATTTTAGAAGGGTATCCTAGTAGGACACTTCGCGATTCACAGGTCACTACCGGAGGTGATTTAGTCAGTATTCACATGGCTGATTGTTTTCATTAGTTTTGATATGATAAAATAAACTAGAAAAAACCAATCATAAGATGCAGTCTTTCACACTGTCGAGACATATAGTACTGCTGTATTGGTAATTTCTATCCCAAAATTGCAATCAGAAATGCACACTTCATCATTTTCAACGAGAGAAAACTGAAAGAGGTTGCATGAACTCACTTGGACCCCACTCACCCAAACTCACCCAAGTCATAGCCCAAACTCAGGTCCATTTGAAAATTTAGAAAAACAGAAAAAAATTGAACTAACCATTAAAACTGACCAAAACTGAAAAACCGAAAAAATTATTAATATATATAAGAATTATGAAATACACAGTACATATTTCTCCTTTTTTCTAGAAAAATTAAATTCAAATATAAGATATATATAACTATTAACATACATCATGATTATGATATTTAAAAAAAATAATTCATTCGGTCTAGTTCCATAATTTTGGAACCAAAACAGAACCAAAAAAAACTAAACCACAACTGACCCAAACCCTAATAAACCCAACCACCGGTTAAAGCAAACCGATTTAATAAATTGGTTCGAGTCTAGTCGTTTTGTCTCCTTTACACCTAACAATAGACACTCCTCGCCATAGGGGATGCTTCAACATAAGAATTAAGAATCAAAAGAAAAATTGTCCCAAAAGTGTAATCTAAATGGTAATGGAAACACAATTCCTACTTTATTTTTTGAGAAGAAAGAGGCAAAAATCATATTAAAAAAGAAAGGGTTGCCACCTCATTACCAAAGAAACTTTACAAATTGTGATGGGGAAAAAACCATCTATGAGGTTCCCTAAGTTCTCTTCATTATTAAGAGGTTGATCATTGAAAACAATAACTCAAGCTTTGGAACCATTGATCTAAAGCTAGCAGAATGTAAGGAACCAAGAGTAGTTTGTCTTTTCATTATAACAAAATTAGGGTTAGGATTAAAAAAACAGAAAAATGGAGGAAAAAGATCCTGGCCATTCATTCCTCAGCTTGGATACGAGGTCGGTGATCGTGGAGGAGATATTTAAAACCTTGAACCGTTCTGAATTGCCGACCCTTCATCTTTTCCTCTCCATGCAGCGAACCCGACAGACACATCCCTTCTGACAATTGGCTTCTACAGTGTTCAATGGTAACGTTTGGCGGTTTGAATGAAATATTCATGCATCCTTTTTTGTATTTAAGTTCTCCATTCATAAGCTTGAATCATCAATGGAATAAATTATTTGAATTTATTTGCATAATCTCCCTCAAGTTTTCTGTCTCCTTCTCTCTCAGACCCCTCTATTCTCTCCTCTTTCAGTCTCCTTCGCTCCCCAAACTCTCCGTTTCTCCTCCAATCTGCTCCTCTATTTCTCTTAAATCCGAAAAACACACCTCAAAATCCGAACTATAGGTTCGTGATAAAGTCATATCAAGGCCGCGTACCAGATCCAAGTGGGGGACAGTGATGGTGAACTCCGCAAAAACAGTGGCCGCCGACCGCACAACGGAGCTCTTCAACCGGATAGAGCAACAACTTGATTTGATGATCAAGATGCTAGGCATCCAAGTTCCCTTATTGGAGGGCGCGAAACCAACAGCCATTGCTGCAGCTGTGAGCATATGGGAGAGAAGTATTTTTCCTTCCCCTCTGTAGCGTGTAGAAAATGAAAAAAGAAGAGTTGAACCGGCCGCGAAGGTGAACAACCCTAAAACCGATCCAATGACTGAATTGCTTGACAAAACCAGAGATGAACCGACTGTAAAAGTGGAAAACCCTAGAACTAGTTCAATGACTAAACCGATTAAAATAAATAAATAAATTCGTCCGATTCGAACAGGTCTTGTTCATTGAGCTGAACCGATCAGACCCCCACTAAACTGAACCAAACCACTCAGCCTCTCTAATCACCCACATTCCCTTGTCCTCTCTTGATGTCTTACTGAATGAAAATGAAATGGAAGAAGTAGAAGAAGAGGAAACGGAAGAAGAAAAGGTGAAAGAAGAAAAAAAAGAAGACACGGAAGGAACCAAGGGTATTATAAGGAACCAAGGGTAGTTTTGTCTTTTCATTATAACAAAATTAGGGTTAAGGTTGGAAAAACATAAAAAATGGAGGGAAAAGATCCTGGCTATTCATTCCTCAGCTTGGACACGTGGATGGTGATCGTGGAGGGGGTATTTAAAACCTCGAACCGTTTTGAATTGCCAACCCTTCATTTTTTCTTCTCCATGCAGCAAGCCCTACGAAATACATCCCTTCTAACTGTCGGCTTCTACAGCATACTATGGCTTTGGCGATTTGAATGAAACATTAATGCATCTTTTTTTGTACTTAAGTTCCCCATTTGTAAGCTTGAATCACCAATGGAATAAATTATCTGAATGTATTTTCATAACCTTCCTCGTGTTTTCTCTCTCTCTCTTAATCCATTTGTTCTCTCTTTCTCTTTCAGTCTCTTTCTCTCTCTAAATTCTCTGTTTCTCCTCCAATCTCCCCATTTTTTTCTCTTAAATCCGAAACACATATCTCTTAGATCCAAACCATGTATCACATTCATAACACATAAAGAGAAAAATCCATCAAAAACCTTTTTGTTCCTTTCTTTCTAAATAACCCAAAACGAGAACCAACCAAATGACGGATATAAGCTCTTTCCCCCACTTGCAAACCTTAATGCCATCCCATGCCCATAAATCATCTCAACCAAACTGTTGGTTGCTCAAGACAAGTTTAGGGAGGATAAATATGAATCTCATAACCTTTTAGCCTCAACACACTAAAATAGGAGACAATTTGAGGGATTTGATCTAATGCAAACACTTCGGGCACCATTAACAATTAGGCTACTCCACTTCCTCAAGTTATAAATTGTTAGGATCCCGCCTCAAGCAATCTCCTAAAAAAGCCCCGTGTGAGGATTCTTTTTTCTTCCAAATCTGCTTTCCAAGAAATTTTGAGATGACCTCATTCTAAGAAAGAAGATTATGTTGGAAGGATCTGAAAAAGAACAACTTCTGACAAGGCCAAAAAGAAAGATCAAGACCACCAAGGTCAAAATGGAAGGAGTCAAGAAGAGCCAGTAAAGAAATCATGTAATCAATCTCCCCATCACTAAGATTTCATGGCAGATGGATATCCCACAATGGAGAAGAGGACTCATGACTGACCACAATATCACTAACTGAAGCGTCCTTCATAACAAAAGCAAAGATATTACTGAATCACTCCTTAAGGGATCTCTCTTTACACCACAAGTCCACCCAAAAGCCAGAAGCCTAAGCATTGCTAAATTTAAACAATACCAAGTCAAAAAAAGAGCTTCAATCCTTACCAATCCAGGACATGAGCTTCGAAAGCTACTTCGCAAATAAAGCTTTTCATAGCAGACAAAAGTCATATTTTCCTATCTATTAATAGGATCTTATATAGTAATATCCTTCAACTGGCATGTAATGACCTGAATTTTCTCTAAACAAATTTTTCGTGTTTTGTATAGCTATTTAAACATGTATATGTATGCAGAGATATGTAATAAGGATAAAGACTAAGTTTTAAGGTAAACAGAGCGAAAAAGATGAGATTTAGAATAACCAAAATCCTTAAGAAGAGTTTTTCCCTCATAAGGGAAAGCTAAGTTTTTAAGCCCAAGAACGCTTCCTAAGGCTATAAAGACCTATAAAAGGTAAGTAAAATTCTTTGGAAAAGTAATAAAATAATTGGATGAGGAATCAGGAGAAAATATCTCGAGCGAGAGAGAAAATCTCCGGAAGAGCACT